AAAAAAAAAAAAAAAAAAAAAAAAAAAAAAATGGCAGAAGACCTGAATAGACATTTTTCAAAGAAGACATACAGATGGCTAACGGGCACATGGAAAGATGTAGAACAATGCTGTTAGAGAAATGCAAATGAAAACCACAATGAGATACGACCTCAAACCTGTCAGAATGGCTACGATCAAAAAGTCTACAAATAACAAATGTTGGCAGGAATGTGGAGAGAAAGAAAGACTCGTACACTGTTGGTGGGAATGTAAATTAGTGCAGTCACTGTGGGAAACAATATGGGGTTCCTTAAAAAATTAAAAATAGGGCTTCCCTGGTGGTGCAGTGGTTGAGAGTCCGCCTGCTGATGCAGGGGACATGGGTTCATGCCCTGGTCTGGGAAGATCCCACATGCCGCAGAGCGGCTGGGCCCGTGAGACATGGCCGCTGAGCCTACGCGTCCAGAGCACTCCACAACAGGAGAGGCCACAACAGTGAGAGGCCCGCGTATCACAAAAAAAAAAAAAAAAAACTTAAAAAAAAAATTACTTAAAATAAAATAAAAGGGGGTAACTGAACAGTCTTCATACATAGGCAAAAAGTACACAGAAATAAAATCATCTGCTCATAGTCATTGATAAATAATGTGTCTAAGATCTGAACCCAAGAATAAAACTAAAGTCCTTTTGTACTGAGCCACAAAAAACTAGGCAGTCCCCTCAAGAACAGTACAGTGAATACACTGGGAGTAGTGCCCCCTCTGCTGGCCTTCTGAAAGCATGGCATCAAATATGTACTTAAAACTGTTACGACCAAAAGCTGACTCAGGAAGTAAACAATCAGAGTTTTATTTTAGAAACTCCTACAGACCACACATCTTATGGTAGGAACTTTTCCTGGTCCAGGAGGATCCCACGTGCCGCAGAGCGGCTGGTCCCATGAGCCATGGCCACTGAGCCTGCGCGTCCGGAGCCTGTGCTCCGCAATGGGAGAGGCCACAGCAGAGACAGGCCTGCGTACCACAAAAAAAAAAACACACACACACACACACACACACACACACACACACACACACACACACACAAAACAGAATTACCATATGATCCAGCAATTCCACTGCTGGGTATATAGCTGAAGACAATGAAAACACTAATTCAAAAAGATACATGCACCCTAATGTTCATAGAAGCATTATTAACAATAGCCAAGATATGGATGCAACCAAAGTGTCCACCAACAGATGAATGGATAAAAAAGATGTGGTATAAAAAAGAATGAAATAATGTCATTTGCAGCAACATGGATGGACCTAGAGATTCTCATACTAAGTGAAATAAGTCAGACAGAGTAAGACAAATATCGTATGACATCACTTATGTGGAATCTAAAAAAATGCTACAAATGAACTTATTTACAAAACAGAAACAGACTCACAGACTTAGAAAACAAACTTATGGCTACCAAAGGGGAAAAGGTGGGGGGGAGGGATAAGTTAGGAGGTTGGGGTTAACATATACACACTACCGTACATAAAATAGATATTCAAAAAGGACCTACTGTAGAGCACAGGGAACTATACTCAATACTCTTTAATAACCTATATGGGAAAAGAATCTGAAAAAGATTAGATGTATGAATATGTATAACTAAATCACTTTACTTTACACCTGAAACTAACACAACATTATGAATCAACTATACTCCTATATAAAAAAGAGAAAAGATGTGGTATATATACATACAATGGAATATTACTCAGCCATAAAAAAGAATGAAATTTTGCCATTTGCAACAATGTGGATGGACCTAGAGGGTGTTATGCTTAGTGAAATAAGTCAAACAGAGAAAGACATATACTGAATGTTATCACTTATGCATGGAATCTAAAAAATGAAACAAATGAATATAACAAAACAGAAACAGAATTAAATATATAGAGAATAAACTAGTGGTTTCCAGTGGGGGGGGAGGGGCAAAAGAGAGGTAGGGGATTAAGAGGTACAAACTACTATATATAAAATAAATAGGGGACTTCCCTGGTGGCACAGTGGTTGAGAGTCCACCTGCCAATGCAGGGGACACGGGTTCGTGCCCCGGTCCGGGAGGATCCCACATGCCATGGAGCGGCTGGGCCCGTGAGCCATGGCCGCTGAGCCTGCACGTCCGGAGCCTGTGCTCCACAACGGGAGAGGCCACAACAGTGAGAGGCCCGCGTACCGCAAAAAATAATAATAAATAAATAAATAAATAAATAAATAAATAAATAGGCTACAAGGATATATTACACAGCACAGGAATATAGCCAATATTTTACAATAACTTTAGAGTATAATTTATGAAAATATTGAATCACCATATCGTACACCTGAAACTAATATGATATTGAAATTCAACTATACTATAATTTTTTAAAATGCTTATCCTGGTATTTGATTTATCAGTTGTAGTCTTTGTTGACTAGCTTTCTGCTGTGGTAGATAAGGGTTTTCCAACATCCCACCCTACTTCACCACTACTTATATCACTCTTCATGGAAAATATCATGGCCTGTGTCATTGGGTCTCCTGGGTCAGATACATTTTTTCTTGGCTCTTTTGTATTGCTCTAAGTGTTACTCCCTCATTTTTCTGGACCAAACCTCAAGTAGCTTTTTAGGAAGACTGGGTGATCTTTGCACATATGGGTATATCTTTACTCTGCCTTCACAGTGGAGTTACAGTTTGACCAGAAATAGAATTTGGGGTTGAACATAGTTTTTCTTCAGAAACATAAAATCACTACTCAGCTATTAACACTATGTTGTTGTTGAGGATTCTGATACTGTTCCTTTGTGGGTAACCTTTTTCTCTTTGGTTTTCAGATCTTTTTCCCCAAAGGTTCTGAAATGCCATGATAATGCACCTGACATGGTCCTTTTTCATTCATTGTGTTGGCTGCTTTATGGGCCACTGAGGTATTTGCACCTTTAATCCCAGGGAAATTCTCTGTATTATCTTTGCTAATTTCCTCCCTTTTGCTTTTTCTGTGCTCTATTTCTGGAATTCCTACTTAGTCAAAAGCCGAAACTTCTGGATTGATATTTATTCTCATATTTTCTGTCTCTTTCATTGCTTTATCTTTTAATTCTATATTGATTTTTTCTATTCTCCCCTTTGCACTTCTCACCGCTATCCTACACGTACATTTGCACAGACATATACATGCCAACACCCCTCTTCAATCCACAAGTCTTGTTCTTTCTGTCTCCTAAATGTCTTTGGGATTCATCCATCCATTTCTCTTCATCTCCACTGAACAGCTTCGTGACTCTCATCTGTATTAACATAGCCTCCTAAGTGGCTGCTTCACCTACTCTATCCATCCATTCTCCATGTAGCAGACATAAGTGAGTTTTAAAAGTATCTAATCTGATCAGGTCTTGTTTCCTTTGTGATTGAGGTCAAAATCCTCAGCAGTGATGGGTTACCAGATCCTGCATGGTTGGCTCCTGTCTCCTGCCCCTCTGCCTAACAAGCTGCTGGGCTTCTTACTATCCCCGCATGTCCTCATGTCCTGAGGCTTTCATCCTTGCTATTTGTACCATCAGGAATCATTTGCTCTATCTTCTCATCCACCAGAACTTCCTACTCATGCTTCAGATCCATGTTGTAGTCACCACTCAGTCAGTCCTCAGAGGAGGCAGTGAGTAAAGGCTGAAAACCAGGTCTGGGCCCTGAACAGAGGCCTGTCTGGGAAGATGACCTCAGATCTGCCATCTCCTTGGAAACTACCACGTTATGATCAGTGTCGAAGGTCATGTACTAGGAGTTCGCCTACTGTAAAACTCCTGAGCTTTGAGACTATACCTAGACTGAGAGAGTTGTGACTGGCACACAGTTGGAAACCAAGGCTTCTGCATTTGTATGCTTAGATGGCCCACCCCACCTTGGATTTTGCTTATAGTAACCATACCTGCCCTGCATGGATGATGGATCAAAGAAGCACTGTTGTGACAGCTGTTGGGCTCCTCATGGAATGAAAACACTGTAGGTGCAGTATGTCCTGCCGAGGATCATTCTAGAGAGCTCAATAAACCTTGTACTAAAACCTAATAAGTCTGTGAGTTTGACCTAATCAGATCCTGTGACCACCACAAGAAGACTTCCTTAATTTTACAGGCAGGGTTACATCTCTGTTATCTCTCTCAGTATCTACAAGTCTCTCTTATAACATTCATCACACTTTCAAGAATTTACTGTACATCTCTGTTGCCTGAAAGATGTCAATTTCAAGAGGGCAGCACTCCTTTGTTTGTACTTGGATTCCTAGGGCCTAACACAGAGCTTGCCACAATGTTGGCCCCTGATACCTATTTGTTACTGAGAGATGAATGTAGTCTATTTCATCAAAGTGCCTAGCATATTATCTTAATTTGAAATACACTCAATAAACCTTCACTGAATGAATCTCTCACCACAGAGAGTACTAATATCCTGGAAGAAGGAACAGTATCCCCAAAGGGTCAGAGGGCTACTAGCTGTTGAAGTGAATGTGTATGAACATACATACAACAGTGTGTGCAATTAGAGGCAGTGGGGGTCACAGATCAACGAACAGAAGACGTGTGCTGAGATGTCTGCCATCAGGGCCATGTCACTGAACAGGAAATAGGTCTAGATGGGGCTTTCAGTCACAACATCCTTTCTTACCTTTGATAGCCTTGAATATCTGCTCCATAATGTCAAAATATCCCTATGTTTTCAGTAGGTTTCTCATCAGATACAAATTCAATATAATTTGGGAGAGAGAACTGCTTTAAACACTTGGAAATAATTTTTAATTTAGTAATGCACATCTAAACCTGCTTACAGGGACTTCCCTGGTGGCACAGTGGATAAAACTCTACGCTCCCAGTGCAGGGGCCTCGGGTTCATTCTCTGGTCGGGGAAGCAATCCCACGTGCATGCCGCAACTAAGATTTCGCATGCCACAACTAAGGGGCCCACGTGCTGCAACTAACGAGCTGGAGAGCCGCAACTAAGGAGCCCGCCTGCTGCAACTAAGACCCAGCACAACCAAATAAATAAATAAATAAATATGTTAAAAAACCCAAATAAAATAAAATAAACTTTCTTAGACACATGAAATAGTAGTGTTTGAGAACTACCACCACTGCTTCTACAAGTCATTAGATAAAGACTGTCTGCCACATCACTTCAAAAAGATAGAATGAAGAGTATAAACATCTTACCCGCTCTCCATCCATGTGCCACATATTCTGAATTCAGTGGAATCTTTCTTTTCAAAGCAATAGTCTGAGAAGGAAATAATTATAAATTCAGATTTGAAAAAACAACATTGAAAGGAAAAAGAATAGCAAATATGCCAGATTATGCTTGAAACAGATGGTTCAGAATCCTCCAAAATGATCAAAGTGATCAAAGTGATCTCGATGAAATGATCCAGAGAGGAACTAGAGCCTAAGCCCTCAGGAAGATGCAAGAGAAAAAGAGGGAAAAGGAGAAGGAAGGAGAAATAAGAGGAGGAAGCAGTAACACCACCACCACTTTGCCTCTCAGTACATAGAACTGAACCAGAGACCACCCCTAGGAGAAGCTGGACACAGGGTCAGCCCATGAGAAGCTCATAAACCAAGACAGTCATGGAGAAAGTATGGCCACATAAAATTCAGGACACATGAAATTGATATAGGGTTGACCTCAGAGTGGAGAGGGTGCAACATAAAAGGAGCAATATCATTGAAGAAAATGCTTGGGTGGGGGCAGGCATTGTGGGAAGTTGCTGGTCCCCTTTGGCCAAAGCCAGGCACTCTGAAGACTTCTGCAAAACATGACAAGGAAGTGGGCAGAGATGGAAGATGACACCACTCCTATAGATGTGGCTTCAGGATTTTACTTCTTCATGGAAACCCGAAGAATGAGGCAGTTCTCTAAGAAATGCATCTGTCCACTTGAGAACCCTAGAGGGACAAGTCATCCCTTGATCCTAAGACACTCTGTAATGCAGATCAGTAGACATATGAGTGGGGATAAATAAAAGTTAACCATGCACAAACCAAGGAGTGAAAGGTGGGGTGTTTACCTTTATAGTCAGAGTCACAGTCTTTCCTCACACATTTCTGGTTCAGATTTCCCATGAAGAGCTGCTGACCTACCAGGGCGAAGATGCTGAGGCAAAAGAGAGTCAGGATCATCACATCGACAAGCCTCTTCACAGAGCGCAGCAAGGCCCCAACAATGACCTTCAGACCTGAGGAAGAGGACAGATGTGGGGAGAAGCCCCCCACTCACACACACACACCAGACACAGGCAAGGAACAGAGAGGGAGCAACAAGGCCTCGAAAGTTGTCTGATTGCATGCTGGTATCAGAAACTGGCCTGACCTAGGATTCTGAGGCCATAACGCTGTGCCTTAGAAGCTATGGGTCATCAGAGTGGTCCACTGGTCTAGGACTCGGCCTCTTTATCCTGCTCTACAGATGCCACAGGGTTGCTCTGAAGGGCAAGTGAGAAGACTTTGAGCAGAAACATGCCACAGAGACACAAGACATAACTTGACGACAGTTGTGCAGGCACCTCCACGGCTGGGGGTCACAGGCAGCATTAAGGTCAAAGTGAGGCCTCCTGAGAGAAGGAGCAGAGCTGTATTTAACATCTGGTAGCTACTACCTACTATAAGGTACACGAGGTGCCATGAGATATAGCTAAATTGGGGGGTCAGGGAGCTGGAAGAAGGAGCTTTGTCTGGACCCAAATAATAAGGATGTCTTAGGAAAAGAAACTCAGATTACTACTTATAATAAGGGTTTTTAAAAATTCATTCAAGAAATATATTTACCAAGCACCTACTGTGTCCATGGTACACTGTCAGGCTGCCAAAGTTACAAAATAAAAAGGACATAGTCTTGCAGTCTGTTGGTAAATATTTAAAATCAGCTCTTGCGGGGAGGGGAGGAGACAGAGAAAGTCTTCATTTGCAGCATTTGCAGATGTCTTTGTTTGCTGAATTCCGGACTGTAGATCCCTCTTCTCCCTCCATGCACCCCTCTCCCCCAGCTGTTTTCAAGCTACCAACATGACATCCCTGGATGCAGAGTTGGAAAAAGATGTGCACAGTCTGCTGGGGAGTCGGAACAAGTCAGTCCCAGCGCAACACTGAGTCACAGGCTCTGCTCTCAACACAGCTGGAGAGATAAACCAGCAGATGGCATCGGTAATGTGTGGGATGACACTAAGTGACAAAGTTTCGGTTGATCAGCATAAACCATGAATGGCAGACTTGAGAACACAAAGCAGCATCTGACGGGAGGCCAAGCCCACAGCAGAAGACCTTCCACCAAGGGTGATACCACATGAGGAGGAGACTTCAGGCCAAGCTGGGACATCCACTGGATTCACCAGTGCACTTATGTTCATGCCAAGATCACGCTTCCTCTGCATGGTCAGGGGCACCAAACACGAAAATAGTGTAACCTCATCTACGCCTGACTTTTCTTCCGTAACAAGAGGCTCGAGTCTTCTCCAAAGCAAGATGATTTGGATGAAAGATAGCTGTGATTCCTGAATTATTTTTACATAGTCCCATAAAATATTGTATCTCATACTCTTCCTTCCAAAAAGCATCCAGGGATCTCACGTGTTTCATGAGTCAAAATGGAGAGTATGTTCACCTGCTTAGAGATGAGGAAGGGAACATGAAAGCTGCTAAGTGTCTCCCTGAATGTATATTTTACCCACGCGAAATATGAGGGACTCAGCTCAGGCAGAAAGCCCCTAAATCTACCTGGGAAACCAAGGTCCACCTTGCAAAAGAGGAAGACAAAGAGTGACATGTTCTACATAAAGTGTCCTCTGACTGCCAGTTGCTTTATCACTATGCAGTTGTTCTTCTGGAGTTTCCAAAAATAACCCACTGCCTCTGTATGAAAAAGATCCAAATTGCCTGGAGTTTTGATAGAAGAGACTAGAAGACGAAGGGAAGAAGAAGGTGGGAAGGAAGGAGTCCAGAGGGAGAATACTTTTTAATAAAGTTTTTTTTTGTAAAGGAAAGAGAGGAAAGGGGAAGGAGAAGACTGTGCCATAATAACCCCATTTCTGATAAACTGGAATTCATATTTACAACCCCGTCCTTGGCTTCATCCTGATCCACAGAGCTCCTTCCTTGCCTGGCTTCCAAGAGACCACTTTTGCTCTCTTTCCTCCTTTACTGGTGGCTCTTGCTCATCTCCTTTGCTGGTTTCTCCTCTCTCCCCTTTAAGGTCTCAGTGCCTGGGACTCAGTCCTTTGTCCTCTTCTACTTTCCATCAATGCTCATTTTCTTGGTAATCTCATCAGATTCCATGGCTCTAAATATCATCTACAGGCTCATAATCTCCAAAATGATATCTGCAGCCCTGGAACTCCAGCCTCCTATATCTAATTGCCTACTTGGTACTTTGACATGGATGCCTCACAGCCATCTCAAACAGAACACATGCGAAGCCGATTCCTAATCTGACCCCCAAGGCCTGCTTCTCTCACAGCCTTCCTTTTCTCATTCAGTGATGATTCCATCTTTCCAGTCATTCAGACAAAAAACCTTGACTCATCCTTTACTCTTCTTTTGCTCATATCATGTATACAATCAACCTGTCAGGAAGTCCTCGTTTCCACCTTCAAATTTATACAGAATCTGACCACCATTCACCAACTCCTCTTCCACTGCCTGATCTGAGAGCACCACCACCTCTTGCTTGGATTATGGCAGTGGCCCCCTGTGTCAGTTTGGGCCCTCTGAGAAGCAGACACTTTGAGACCAGATTGCAAGAGATTTCTTGGGGAAATGCTTGTGAGGAATAATCTGGAGGGAGTGAGTGGAGGGACAAAGAGAGCCTCAGACTGTGACACAGGGCTGACACCTGGGAAAGGAGATCAGGAAGGAAGCAGGATAGACAGGAAGTGCCTCAGACTGCAGTGCTGCTGTGAGACAGTCTCACCCTGGTTGCTGAGGAGCCGCTGAGCCAAAGTCCCACATAGAGGAGTCCCATACCCTTCAGGGGTGGGCCTGCACTAGCGGCCCCCACATGCAGGGAAGGCGTGATCTTGGCATGAACATGAATGCAGTGGTGAATCCAGAGAGGGGGCAGCTGGGACCATTAGTCAACTGCACTCCCTGCAGCAGGAGGTCTGAGCAGCACATTTCCATGGTGACCAACATGCCTCCTATCTGGTATTCCTGCTTCTACCTTGGCTCCCGCACATTCTGTTCCCCACACAACAGCAAAAGTAATCCTTTTAAAGCCTGGGTCACGTCATGACTCCTCTGCTCAAAGCCCCTGCATGGCTCCCATTTCTATCAGAGCAAAGCCCAAGTCTTCCCGGTACTTAGGTGCCTCCCCCTCACCTCTGTGGTCCCTCCTCCACCACCTGGCCCCTCATTCTGTCTGCTCCAGCCCCGCCCACATGTTTTATAGTCCTCGGTCTGTAGACTGGCTGCTTCCTATGCTCAGAACACTCTTTCCC